ATTCTCTGATGTAGAGAAGTATAGGCACTGGTTGTGACAGTTTCTCTTTCTTGCGAGGCTCCTGCTGTCTTTTAGCCAAAGTCTGGTCCACCATCGCTTTGGAGTAGCCATTCCGTTAAAGATCATTTTCGATTGTGTCTAGTTCCTTCTCGAGACCTTTCTTTGTATTAATAGAGTCTTGATGATTCCTCTTTCAGTCGATTGATGGTGGTTGGATAAGTGGTTCAGATACTGTCCCGTGTAAGTGGGTTTTCGGTATACAGATGTTTTCCATTTTGTGTCGGTCCTTTTCACTGATACATCTAAGAATGGCAATTCGTTGTGGACAATTCTCCATTGTGAAAGTAATCAGACAATGGAAATCCGAAGTAATGAAATTCATCAAGAAACATTGTCAATCACCTTCAAACAAAGTACTATTCTGATCATTCCCATATTGATTTCAATTCAAGAGCCACCGGTAAACAGCTGTTTTAGCCTGTTGGGCATCGTCAGTACCGGGCAGGTGATCCTCGATTGAAGACAAAAAGTGGATAACCAAGAAAAGTACCTGATGAAAATAACTGCGTAAACGCAAGCGAGACATAAGTGTAACCACCTATTGGTGTGACAACCAAGTCAACTTGCAAGTTTTTATGTCAGTGTTGGTGGTTTGACCAAACAACCGACAACTGCGGTAGCAGAAATTCGGGAATCTATCCTGGAATACCATCGGAAAACGATTCCACATATTTCTAGAAATGATATGGAATCGGGAAAGGTTGATGCAGTCAAGCTGCTGGAAAATGATTCCATGAAATCCGAAAGATTAATAGATAAGTACTATTCTGATCATTCCCATATTGCTTTCAATTCAAGAGCCACCGGTAGACTGTTTCAGTCTGTTAGGCATCGTCATTTTGTCTTTAATCAAGGACCGCCTACCCAGTACTGACGATGCCCAACAGGCCCAATAGTACCAGTTTGTTTATCCGACATAATTTTTATCACAATCTTCGCGACCAATTTTATGAATTTCCCACTAATGGTTTTCGTCTTCTTGTTTACCTGTTTCTTTCAGAAATGCCCAATTGTAACCTATTAATTTCTATAGAATCCCCAGTATTCCATCGTATTCCATGTTCTGCCAGGTTGAACAAAGGCCAAATGTATCGTGGTATTTCGGAACTGTAAATCCTTCTAGGACCTCTACAACCTACGATGTGTCAATAGTTATAAACTTGTTTTTTTTTTCGACACTGCAATCGACAATTGATATGTACGTGAATCAGTGAATTATGTTTACTCAGATTGTTATTACATTGTTATCAACTTATCGCCACAACCCGAAAATTTTAATAATGCACAATCAATTGCCACAATATGGTATTACACATCAAGGGTGGATCTATCAGAAGAAATATCAAACATTATGTGCGTAGTCGAGAACAAGTTCTGAAATTATCTGTAGATACGTCAAAGTTACTCAATTTTTCGAGGAGGATTAATGTTTGTTCCAGCGTTAGACGGGAAAACAGCGTATTCTGAAAAAAATTATATTACGAGTAGGTATCCCAGTACTTTCACAAACACAAATTTTCAATTATGGAGCTTGTTTTGATGCCATCTTTTCTTTTACTGATAATTAGGATATCGGATTTTACAGTTTACATTGTAAATATTGTATCCGATGAAATGACTGAACTTCAATGATAGTTTGAGTCATATTGGTCAATTTTATAGACAACCCATGTCAAATACATCATGTTGATGCAGAAAAATTATATTTTGAAACTGATCAGGAGAGATAGAAGAAAACTTCCTGGGTCAGTTTTGAAATCGTGGATAATAAACAAGAATCATAGGTTATGCATGTGCTAGACAGGGATTTTTAACATTTGGTCTCAGAATCAGTTTTAGGAGTACCAAAATCAAAAGTACTATATAAAGGCAGATAGGGAAATAGGTCAATGGGCAACATAATAAATAGTGGAATAATATACCTAGAAACACAAATACATACTAGTGAACTATTTCAGAGAAAACGTCTGAGAAAAGAATCGAAGAAATGCTTCAACGAAACAGAGATTGACTCAGAATGACTATTTACTGGCTATTTAATGAATACTCTTTTGATTATTCGTATCTGTCGCGCAGTCCTCTGTCCTGATTTCGAATTTTGAAAGTGAATCTAAGAATAGATTGAACCAAAATAAAATAAAATTGACTACAGAACATATAAATGTAATTAGCACTTCTACTTCATAAATAATACTTGCCCATCCATAGGAACATGATTAGTCAGATAGTTAGTGAGTTCAACTCATGAAACCACTGAGAGATCTGTTCAAAATCTGTTTGAAATCTGTTTTTCCGTTAATCAGCTGTCGCTCCCATACGAACGACAACTCTCAGAAGTTGAGAAACTTGTGCGAGCTAAGGACTAACGAGGTCTTACCTTTCAACGTGTGATTCCTAACACGGTTGCAGAATCATCCCAGCTTCAACCAGATAAATTCTGTCGAGAAAAATATCTGGTCGAGACGGGAATCGAACCCACGGCCTTCCGATCGTGAGTCGGGTGCACTACCACCTCCGCCAATTCCACAACAAAGATGAGTGATGGTTTAAGTTCATAACCAATCTTCAAGCAGGAAATAGAGAAAAATATTTTTTTTAAAAGCAGAGTTTTAAAACTAATTAATACAGTTTATTGTATGATTTTCACAATAGTTTCCTGAAGCGCTTGAGGAAGCTGTTGTATAGCGAAACACTTGTCGCGATTTTTGTAAAATTCTTTAGAGTGAAAAACAAACAATGAACTGTATTAATTAGTTTTAATGTGGATTTTCATCAAGTATCGGCCAGTTCTATTCAATTGCAGAGTTTTGTTTGACAGATACCTCACAAATATCAATTCATCGACTATTGCGAATGTTCATTGTTTTATGTAGTTCAACTTCTAACTGTGGAATGTCGATATCACCTACTCCCATTCATAAAGTCACTTATAAGGACCCAGAAGTAAAATAATTTTGATAACAGTTAACGAACATCGCTGTTTTCGAAAATGAATTATATAACATACTATAATAATTAGTTAAACTATCATTCGTCATATTCGTTGATGTGTGCTAGTTGTTTCTTTTTCTATTTTTATTCATAATATGTTCACAGCAAACATACCACACAAAATGGTTTGTCCAAGTATTTAATGCACGTCTGAAAAATATAAAATTTTCTTTTCATATAGAAACATTCACCTCCCTCAACTTTTCTACACAGTACAATCTGGCAAACAACTACTTTACTTTTCAATACCACGACGGACATATGATTATATCAGACAGGCATTTGTGCAAGTTTCATAACAAACTAAATTCTTGTTGATACTTCTTGTCCTGCAGGACCTCGCCGAAAACAATGAAGTGATCCATAAGTGGTCGGTCGGTAGCCAGGTGGTTCGACGTGGGTGCTTTGTTCACTCACTCGAATTGACTGCCGTGTTGGTCGGTGATTCAAGCCCTAGTCTGAACGATCGATTTCCACTTGCTATCGTCCAACCTATATTAGGAATCGCACGTTAAAAAATGAGACCTCGTTAATCCTTAGCTCGCACAAGTTTTGACTTCTGAGGGTTGTCCGTTAACCAGCTGTCGCACAGCTGGTTAACGGACATATTTTTTTTAAACTGGTTGTGGAGTATCACTTCTCGACGGTGCAGGACAAATCTAACCAAAACAGCAGTGCTGCTGCCTGGTACTTGTCTGATTTCAGACACCCCAAAGCATATCCGAAACCGCCTCTTGAGAAGGATCTGTTTCAACTACAATAAAGTAGTAACAGATTCAGCTTGTGAATGAAACCCCAAGCGAAGGAGAACCACCTATCGAAAAAAAAGACTACAATATATTTTTTTTATTTTGAATACAGAGATAAATTTTGGTCCTTGTAACGTTCTGAACTATAAAATGCTTGTCTCTTTCCATTAATAGGCAAAATTATCAAATATGACAAGTTGCTGAAAAACGATACATTTCTCTTATCAGTGTGAACTAAAGGTTTGTTTTTTTCTAATTAAATTCTCCATTACAATTTTTCGGTAAATTTTCGTTATGTGGACACCCGGCGATTTTGAAAAAATTTTTGACTGTACTTACGTATTTTGATGCGTAGATTACGAATCCGAAAGAAAAAAGCGGCGCTCTCCCTTATTTAAAAAGTTACGGTCCTTCAAAGTTCAGAAAAGGGCAAATTTTCAGCCTTCTTTTTCACCAAATAAACTATTTAAAAACACAAACATTTATTCACTAGGTCACCTTTATACCTTATTCCTCCTTCTTTAACACTTTTCACTTCAATAATAAACATTTTTCTTATAAAAATGTGAAAAAATGTACGGAGCTGCTTTTTGGTTACATATCACTGTATTTTTTTTAAGGTTTTTAAGGTTAATGATATGATTGGTACGACTGATGCAGTCAATATTCCTAAAGTAATTCAAATGTTTTTTGCCTTCATTCTTTAGCTCGTAAATTGGTTTTTGGCACTCTTCTTAAAATTACGACAAATGTACTGAGCTTTTTTCTTCGGTATTTTCATAATCCGCTTTCTATTGCATCTATACCATAAAGTGTCATAATTTAATTTGCACTCTTCATTGCAATTAGACCTAGTCTGAACGATCGATTTTCACTTGCTAAATGTTGATTATTGAAGTGAAAAGTGTTAAAGAAGGAGGAATAAGGTGTAAAGGTGACCTAGTGAATAAATGCTTGTGTTTTTAAATAGTTTATTTAGTGAAAAAGAAGGCCGAAAAGTTGCCCTTTTCTGAACTTTGAAGGGCCGTAACTTGTAAATAAGGAAGAGCGCCGCTTTTTTCTTTCGGATTCGTAATCTACGCATCAAAATACATAAGTACAGTCAAAAATTTGTTCGAAATCGCCAGGTGTCCACATAACGAAAATTTACCTTTCTTTCACAAAAACGACTTTTGCTAGTCCTGTCCTGTTCGGTCTGTCGAATGTAATAAGATAACGAAATGCATGATTCAGTCCAAGCGCGACTCAAATTAATAACAAAGCAACTATAAACATGGAGGCCGATCTACACCAGAATGATAGTAGTTGTGAATGTGAAATTTGTAGGGCAAAAATTGCAGAAAATGTGGCGAACCTCAAAGTGGACGTTTCGACCGAAAAGTGTCAAAACTGGCTGGTCAAGTGCCCAACGGTTGAAGACGATGATGCCTCAGTTTATTCTGACTCACAATGTTCGGAACTCACGGAAAATACCAACAATAGCGCCATGGATTCCGGGTTAATTTTCGAAAGTGATGGTATAGTAATGTCGTCAAAAGTGTACAGTGACCAAAATGTAAGTCAGACGATTCACGTCAGTAATTATAACAAAGAAGGACAGTTCGAAGAATGTAGTTTTTCGTCGGCTCTTTGTTCTTATGAAACTTCTTATTCATTCAATATTTGAGACCTCAAATTATTTTTTCAGTAACTCATGTTCACTCATTTACTACCAAATGAACAGGAAAGAAGTTACATTATTCGCATACGATCTAATTACATTCCAAAAATCGGCACTCATTAACAAATTTCTCAAAGTATATGAAACGACGTTCTTTTTGAAGAAATATTTGGGAGATCTTCAAAACACGCATTAAAACAGGAATGACAAAATGGTGCGGTAACAATGGAAAATTATAAGTGAAGAGTTAAAAATAGACTCCAATAATCATGACATTGTGGGAATAACATGCTAGAAGGAAGGTTGAATAATTTTACTTTCCAAGAAAAAACTTCAAATGTTGCTTTAATGAAGCCCAAAGTATTATTTAATTCACTAATAATTAATTCACTAAATATATAGGGCGTTCCAACGAAAACTTGACCCCCCCTGCCTTACAGTCAAGTAAAGGGACTAATTCTGATATACTTGTAGTTATAAGAGTACTTCAGATTACAAAATTTGAAGTAATATTATTTTTATCAATAATTTAGGAAATAATTGAGTTGAAAAGTCGAATGAATGAGGTTTCGAAGGTTTTTTAAAATAATTGTCAAAAAAGTTGATAAATAATAAGGTTAGAGTATTTGTTCGAAATGTTCTTTGTTTATGATTGAAAGGAGTACAAAAAGACTTGAAGTGTCTTTGTCGTATCTCGAATAGTTTATGAGTTATAAAGATTTGAAAGCCATGAAAAACAGATTTGGGGGTATTTTAGTAAACAATTGCCAAAAAATTNTTGATGAATGAAGACGAAAATCGATTATTATTATTTTCTGAATGGACTAGAGGTATCTATCATGAGATTTCACACAGGTCGTTATGCACTACGCTTTTTCAGTCGATAAAAAACTTCTCTCGCTTACTTTTGCAAATAGACACACAAAGCTCTGTGAAAGACGCCTAAATTTGACATGAATCTGAATAAACCAGTATTGTTCATTTCCAATGCCCAAATACTCTTCACTAGTAACAACTACTTTAAAATCTGTTCCAGGAAAATCAGACAGTTCAATTGATGGTAAAGGAAAATAACTCCAAATATGAAAATATAAGTATTTACAAATCAAGAAAAGTTCATATTGGTGACGTTACTTACCTCAATGGACCAATTTTTGTGAATACTTTCAATAAAGAAAAAACTACCAAGTACGATGATGATCTGGATTCTTGTGTCGTTGTGTCAAGAACCAACTGGTTGGCGCAACCTGCACTAGGTGAAAAAGAATTCCTGCAAGAACCCGTCAAATATGTCATAATAGGTATTTATTCAGATGATTTATTGTAGATCATTTTGGGAAAGAAGTAAATCTGAAGCGATAGCTAAGAAGGCACCTTTGCCAAGTCCATAAATAACGCAAGACATTTCAAAAAATTGTCCAAGGCTCTGTTGTTTCACTGTTTGTTCCACGAAATCGAGCACGGCATTTTCAGTAGGTATTTGATTTGTTTATGAACCCAAATTATTGCTGTGTTATTACATGATGTTCATTGGAGAAAACTATTATTTGATTTTTGACAGATTGTTCGAATAGTTTAGCAAAATTATCGATGACAGAAATTGTTCGGTAGTTGCATAAATCATTTTGACTTCCAGATTCAAAAGAGTTGTATAGTTTGAAAAATTACGTCAAATATTTGTTGAAAAAAATCCTGTGAAATTACTGTTCAGCTGATTTGGTTGCAACTTTAGTTAACTATATCCATTTATAGTTTGTGAAATGATTTTCTTATAAATTGAGGCATGAGAACTTTTTGCTGTAAGAAAATCTAAAAAACCTAAGTGATGCAATACCACATCTAGCGATACAATGAATAATTAGACCCTGCTGCTGTCGTTATGCTAACTCTTATTGTGTCCAACAACGTAAATTGGGCCGGAAACTTGAGAGATATATAGTTGTTCAAACAAGGGAAAATTACCCATTTCAGATCTCTCTCTCTGACGTAATTCAAAATGATACAAGCTGTACCTACAAGCAAGTTTATGGAATGTTAATACGACGTTTCATATCCATCACCAATTCTATTTTTTACATAGAATGAAAAAAAACATGATATAAGTTAACTTTTTGGCGACAAATCAGCATGCTAGAGGATCATACCGATTGTGTCGGTATGATCTAACAAATAAAAGTTACTCGCCAAACCCAGCTTCTTAACGAAGACGATTAGTTTGTATGGTGAGTAGTCTTTCAGGTCAGATGGTAAGACTACGGTTCTGCCGAACTCTAAAAACCTAATTCGGTCTCCAGCGGGACAGGTACAAAGTATTGAAATGACAGTGACTTGTAAGAAGGCCTCTTAGACATCGTAGTTCATCCCTACTGTAGTCCAAAAACTGTTTGGTATCAAACTTCGAAGCGTGAATAAACACCTTGGAGTGAGCCAATCCTGGAAGATTCTGCCAGAAGTCCATAAATCTTTTTGCCATCCAGATGTTCAGTGTTTGTTTGGCAAAGCCCAAAGCGATGCCAATGACAGGTTCTGGTCCGATGAAGCCGCTTGCAGCACCCTCCTTGGCAAGACAGTCAGCAGCTTCATTGCTTTCCAGGCCAGTATGACTAGGAATCCAGACCAGAGACATTCTGTTAAGTCTTCCTATCGAAGAGAGTCGTTTTTGGCAACTTGGTTGGCTACTACCGAGCAACGTTACTTAACTGCCCGAGAATATTTTTATTGATTTGTGTATGAGGTTGAGTTGTTCCAATCTCTCCGCACACAATTTAATAGTGAACATTTCCGCTTGAAATACAGTCGTATAAGTTCCTAGGTAGGTTGATATCTCTGTCCTGGGTCTGCGACTGAAAACATCTGTACCAGAACCTGAAGGTGTTTTTGATCCATCTGTGAGCCAACAACTATCTGCTGTTAATATTTCCTTCTCCCGGAGGATTCAGTCCTCTCGGAAACAGTACTTTATAAAGCAGTTCGTAGTTGACAGTTGTAGGCATAAAGTCAGAGGTCATTTCCAGAATGCTGTGACTTCCAGTGTCAACCAACAGTCTGTTGCACTCTGCATGAATACTTTGGCGGATCTTCAATCTCCTTCCTCTGAGCGATTATCATTAGAACTAATTTCTACCTTGGATAATATTCGATTTTCAGTATTTTCCGGTAGAACATCCAACTTTTGAGACCATTAGATTCACTTCGATGTAAACGAACTAACACGATTCAAATGTGTCTGGTTGTCAATATCTTCACCAAAGAAAACATGGAAATACCTGATTGATTGTCTTCAACTTTTTGGTACTATGTATGTATTCATTGTGTAAAATAAGAAATGGGTACTACTCGTATCAAAGAAGGTAAACTTTTGCGGCCAGAGATAACTAACTGTGTGAAAGATATTTTTCAGGTTTTTTGGCATACAAACACAAAACGTACAAAAATCATGCAAAAGGTACACATACAATATCAAGTAATCGAATTAAGAGAGGGCCCACTAATAGGTAATAATATAAAACCAATCCAAAGATTTTGTCATCTGAGCCGGAATGTAAAGTAGTAACTGGAATAGGAATCAAGGAGCATAAAAACGAAGGGAATGGTTATTTTCATATTGAAATTGTGACAAAAAACGCAGCTATACTATAATTCCAAAATAGTAGGCACTTAATTCTCAGAAATGACTGACGTTTTTGCCTTAATGTGCCTCTTGCAGTGCCGAACGAAAATTATACTAAACAGGTGAGGAAAAATGACGATAGAATATATAGAATCACAACGTTGACAACAATGTTTTCGTTTTAATGCAATAATATTTCTGAGAATTTAGTACTTACTATAATGGAATTGTACTCTAGTAATTCAGAAGTCTCTATGAGTCGGAGACGTCGAGTCGCAAAGTTTTGATAAGATTCAAATTTGGAAGTTCTGTGGGTTGCATTTTCCAACACCTGAGCAACTATGGATCAGGTTCTGTCATTCCTTCGTGGAAAAAAATATATCTTTTCAGCACTGTTAGGTTGAATCGTTCATTATTTTTGTTGGTTTTGTTGTATGATTTTTTTGTTTGTAGGAAAAGATTCATCAGAGAATTAATGGTTCACAAATACTGCATGATGCCGTATTGTTTTAATAGCAATGTGTCTACGCTAAAAAAAGTATTAATGGAAGTATCTTACAAATATAATAAACGAACGACTTGCTTGAAATCAAGATGACATGGTCCAAAAAAGTTGACTGTATCGAGGATAGAATACGTATAAAAAAATGAATATTTCGAAATGAAATCTCGAAAACATTCATCTTAACATTCCTACGTAGTATGATCTGGTAAATGCCTGCCAGAAAACAATTACTTCCCCGGCTAATACCACGCTGGATATTGAATTATATCCGACAGACATTTATGCAAGATTCCTCATTTTAGATGTTTCTCATTCAGCCAGCAGCAGGACCATGCTGAAATTATTCAAGTAGGTAGATCACCTGCAGACCGCGGTTTCGAGGTATTACCTCACGTCAGTGCAGGAAAGATCCTACCCAAACAGCAATATATCTGGGACTCGGATATTTTCATCCCGGCTTGACTGCCCCTATAAAAACTCCGTCTGAGAGGAATATTTGTTAATTAATAACATCTCCAACCCAAAAAGTGTGGAAGATAATTATATAAAATTTATAATAGTTCTGTAACAAGTAAAATGTTAGCACATGCAAGAACATACAGCATAATTGCAATATTTAATTCAATTTTGATTGTTCTTACCTTTGTTTCTGATAGATAAGGTTTCTGAAATCACAATCCAACCTGAAACGACAATTGGCTATGGCGAATAACGTTGCTTGTGCGGAATATGTAGACTTGTGACGTCAGCCAATCGAAAAGCTACATAACATTTAGAGAAATTAGTTTATATTTCACGTGAGAATCTAACAAAATAACAAAAAGTTGTAATGTCGTTGAAATGACAAATAAAAGGATTGTATTGGATTGTAGGGACACTTGAGTAGCCAGTGCAATCAGTGATAAATCCAAATAGAAGAAATATTGTAAGCTAATTTTGAAACTTTTGTGTTTCATACCTACGTGAAAATCCATTGGAAATATAACAACATGGATGTAACGTTCCTATCAGATATACCTCGCACGGAGAGACGCAACCTACCTTAATACCTCCTAGATAAATTTCAAGCTGGACAATCGAACTCTGAGTATCATATGAACTGGATAAAAATATCTAACATCATAAAGAATGTCGAATAATTAGTCAAAATCTTGTTATTGATTTTTTTTGTTACTGATGTTAAATTACACAACCTAAATCCTAAATATAATAAACATATTATAATCTTTCAGGTCATACGGCCACTGAGGAAGGATTCAACCATGCCGAAAACACGCTACTCATCCGTCTTATACAGACTTTTCACATCGAAAGCAGAAAATGGAAGGACATAGCTTACAATTTTTTAATCGGATCTGACGGTTTAGCCTACGAAGGAAGAGGTTGGGGCGTAATAGGAGCCCACACAAGAGGTTTCAACAGTAAAGCAATAGGAATTTCCTTCATCGGATGCTTCCTAGATCATTTACCCCCCAATGCGGCTCTGGAAAAAGCCAGAGATCTGATCGCATATGGCGTTAAAAGGGGATCCATCGATGAAGACTATATTTTACTTGGTCATTGCCAATGTTGTGGTGTTGAAAGTCCCGGAAAGAAATTATTCGAAGAGATACAGACGTGGGGCCACTGGGATGGATCCTTTAAAGTTACAACACCTACTCTGAGCGAGACCAGGATCAGTGAAACTTCAAAATCGGAGAATATTCCATGATATTGGTGAACTTCATATAACGTTATGAGAAAGTTTTGACAACAAACAAATAGTGGACATAACACTTCAAAACGGGGGGCAAACCGCGGACACGTGTTTCTGGCACATACGCAGCTATAGCTGCATCCTGCTTTCAGCAAACAAGTGTTGCCCATCTTTACACTTGGCTGCACCGCGCTAATGAGGCCAATAGCCAGAAACACGTGTCCGCGGTTTGCCCCCCGTTTTGGAGTGTTATGTTTGAAATGTGCTATAAATTTAATCAACTTTGTCAGAAAGTAGACATTTATTCAACACCATTGAATATATTCAAAAAAGAAAAAAGAGATAAAAACTATTCTGTTTGCGAAGCCAAAAATACTCATTTAATTTTTTTTTCAATGAAGATACGAGGGTTGCCTTTTATGTTTCGGAATTTGGCAACCCTAGTCTTGCAATCTGGCAACTGACAGCTCTATCATAAAGTTGGACATTTTTGAGATTATACGTACTCAGAACCTTTTGACATCGCACGAAAATGTTCATCTCGGCCCATTTTTGAGCCGATTATTTTTCACAACTTTCGACGTGGATTAACTCAGCAACAGTGCATGGATGAACTGGATTCAATTTTTGGCGATGAAGCTCTATCAAGGACCATTGTTTATCGATGGTATGCTGAATTCAATCATAGTGGTATTTCACTCCAAGACGAATTTCGTGAAAGTCGTTCAAAATCAGTTGTTGTTCCGAAAACCATTGATGCTGTGCGCGAACTGATATTGCAAGATCGTCATGTGACCTATCATGAGATTGAGACAACCTTAGGCATTAGTGGGACCAGCGTACATTCAATAATGCATAAACATTTGACTGTCAAAAAAATGTGTTCGCGTTGGATCCCACACAATTTGTCAATCACTCAGAAAAGGCTCGTGTCGATTGGTCGAAGAAAATGCTCAAAAAATACGATCGCCGTGCTTCGAAACACATCTATGACATCGTAACAGGTGATGAATCGTGAATTCACGCGCATGAGCCCGAAAGTAAACAGCAGTCGACTGTATGGGTGTTTCAAGATGAGCCAAATCCAACAAAAGTTGTTCGCGCACGAAGCACTTCCAAGCAAATGGTCGCCTGTTTTTTCGGAAAAACTGGATATATCGCAGCCGTACCACTAGAACAACGCAGAACAGTCAATTCTGAGTGGTACACAACCATTTGTTTACCAGTTGTCTTCCAAGAAATCAGGAAAACCAACCGCCGAAGACGGATCACTCTTCACCATGGCAATGCGAGCTCTCACGCATCGGCTCAAACAACTGCATTTTTGAGCACCCAAAACATCGATTTGATGAGTCATCCGCCGTATAGTCACAGTATTTCTGTATACAGTAGTTTCACTCAGCGTCGGTCCCTTTGATGTCGGTGTCCAGGAGTTTCATTGTCCCAAAACTGTGTATTATGTTGTGCAAATCATCAAACACTTACTTGAAATTTATTTTTTTCCTTTATTTTCTTTAAAATAATGAATGTATCATTGCTATTATGATTTGCATATATTTTCTATATTCGACACTTTCATCCCAAAATTGTATATTGTATCCAGTAATTGGGTCTAGTGCCTGGTTGGACACCAAAAGTTTTTTTTGATTCTGACAAGAAGTATAATTTTATAGTCTTATATCGCTTTATCACCTTTACAAATCGGGGACACAATTCCTATTTTCTTGTCCCATTCGTACTTTTATAGTGTTTGGTTAGAAAACATGCTAGACGTGATTAGTATCTGAAATAATAAAAGCTTTCGGTGAATTATCTCCCAACGTGAGGCATTGTTGTCACATTTCCAAGAATTCCACGTGTATCATCTACATCTGAAACAATGAGGCTAAAACTGTTTTTTTTTACTTCAGGACTATAAAAATCATATCTCTTTTATAAAGGTATCAAAATAACCTTCAACTACCGACATCACTTCTTCATCGTTGGAAAATCTTTAACCACTGAGCCATTTTTTCAAATTTAGGAACCGAAAAAAATCCGAGGGAGCTAAATCTGGCGAATAGGGTGCATAAGGTAGCAATTGAAACTTTTACTCATTAATTTTGATCACTGCGATAATGGATTTGTGAGCTGGTGCATGGTCTTACTGAAACAACACTCTTATCTTAGCCAAAGCGGGTGTTTTTTTCTTGATTTCTCACTCAAACGTTGCAAAAAGTTCGCATAATTCTCGCCGTTGATAGTTTCACCTTTTCTAAGATAGTCAATGAAAATTATCCCACGCGCATCCCAAAAAACCGATGCCATAACTTTGCCTGCAGATGAAACGGTATTCACCTTCTTAAGAGCCCGTTCTTCCTTTTGACTCCGCTGTTTTGATTGTTCTTTTGTCTCGGGTGAAAAGTGATGGTCCCATGGTTATGAAACAACGCAAAAATGCTGCTTTGTTGCTGTAAAACTTCGCTAAACATCTTCACGATACTGTTTTTGCTCGAGTGTGAGCAAACGCGGCACTCATCTTAAACACAGCTTTCTCATATCCAAATTTTCAGATAATATACGATCTACCGCACTTTTTGAAATGCCTACGAAGTCTGCTAGCTCGTGCACTTTTGGTCGACGATCATTCAATACCGCGTTATGGATTTCATTCACCGTTTCTGGAGTCGTCACTTCATTTGGTCGACCACTGCGATGCTCGTCTTGGTAGCTCGTTCAAACTCTGCTACCCAATAGTTTACTGTTGTGAACGAAGTAGCAGTTTCATCCAGAGTAGAATCCACTTCATATTTCATATTGATTGGGCTGTTGCCTTTCAAATAAAATTATTGTACCACATAACGATGACAAATTTTCTCTATTTTCACAAATTCACCGAAAATGTTCGCTATTGATGGCTGCCAATCAAATACTGAACAACGCAGCGACTTCAAACTTGAAACATATAATACCAATAATGTGTCTTCATTCTGTCAATCTAGGATAGATATATGAACATTTTTCTTACATTTGGAAAATTAATACTAATCCTAGTTTCCTTTCTGATATGGTGGTGGACGGACCTGTCGATAGCGACCGTTCACAAAGAAGGTACGTGGACGGGTGGACGCCATTGTTGGAGATGGAACTTATTTCGTGTTGTGAATGTCCGCTGTTTTATAACGTACCAGCATCAATATTAAATTAAAAATAGTGTTAATAAAACTTGTTCAAGTGTTTTAAAATAAATAGTACTCTCATTCACGCCAGTTAGAGGCCGGATGTCCACATGGGAGTGCTGAAGTGGAATAAATATATAACACCTACTCCCATTCACGCCGGTTGAAGGCCGGGGTGGACCGGATGTCCACGTGGGAGTAGGATCGCAACAATTAATCATTTATGAAGAAGATGATAGTGTTATATGTACTGTATATGTCCGCCGTTGGAAGACAATTTGCCTACTATTTGCGAAGAATAAAAAAGGGGTGCAGTATTGCGTAAAGCAAGACCTTTGTACCCCTTCGAATAAACATGGCTTGCTGCGCCTGAATGGAAGCAATAGCCAATAATAGAGAGAGAGGGAGAGAGAGAGAGAGAATGCTAATCCTAGGGCTGACGTCAAAGTTGAATTTCAAATCAATAATCCAAGATTACTGCTTTATAGATTGTGTACTTTCTAATACAGTGATATTGACCCTTATTGAATCTGATGAAAAAAAACCCGTATGCAAAAACGTCAGATTATTATACATCCACATATTATATATGAACGCTGCATTGTTATATACTCAAGCCTAGAATGAGACGTTAAATTCAACTTTGTGCTGAGTAGTATTATACAAAAAATGCAAATATTTTCCCTAGCGAAACCATCTGCCACACCCACCCGAGAATATTAGTAGGAAACCCAAATATATTGATCATGGAATATTTCAAAAATAAATTTGTTTTCAGTAGAATTCGATTGTCAGAAAATATAACAAATGTCTATTTCATAAAAAAAAAACTTAACAGAGACAGTTAAAGGCATTTATCAATTTATTTCACTTTAACATGTTTATAGGACATAAATTTAACTTGTTTCTATTTGTTTCTGAATCCTACAATTTGATAAGACCGAACAGTTTATTTGGACATGCAGGAAACTGGCATTCTTTCTCCTCCATTTCTGTCTCCACTCCATCGCAATTTTGCAGGCAGTGTCTCCACCGGATATGTCGACCCTTGCCGCAAGTTACGCTGCAAGCAGACCAAGCAGTCCAGTCATCGAATATTTGATCGTCTACTATTTCCGTTTTAGTATTTATGTTTGCAGGTTTCTCAGCTTTCTTAGGTTTTTCTGATGTACTTGACACATTACGAGGTTCTGCAAACACACAAGTTAACACAATTGAGAGTTGAAGGATGTTGAAGAGTGGCATATCATGTACAGGCAGAACATTTGGTGTATTCATTCTTGGTCGTATAGAAGAAACATATACTTTCATGTTATGGCTTTCTATTTCTTCAATTGACGGTTTTACGGGTTTTGATACAAATAATAATAATAACTTGAAAATACAAATTCAAACTGGAAGAAAAACCCCTTTCGAAACAACCACTTCCACATGAACATTGAATTTCACGACAGAAAAGTCATTTCAAAATTCACGTAACATATGAAACAAGTATAATATAAGGTGAATGAAAATGAGTATGCTTAAACATTAAAGACGTTCATCACCTCAAAAAACGCATGATGCATGCAAAATAATCAATAGGGAACTCGATATAGGGGAGACCGGGGCTACAATTAACAAAAAATATATTTTTAGTTGTAGCTAAGAAATAAGTCAACATTTAGACTTGAATTTTGAGATAAATGATGCTAAAATCATTCAGGAATTACGTAATGATCTCAAAACAAACCTAATAGTAAAGACGCCGTAGATAGAACGCTTTTTTCCAAAAATGGTGGCTACCCCCACATCTGGGGTAGGTATTAACAAGGTAATTCTAGCCCCCTCATGTGTTAATTATAGCCCCAAAGGTAACCTTTGAGTATCAAATTAATACAATAAAATATTGGTC